TTGATTCAAGGTCAGAGCAGTGCAAACATTAGGGATATTATGTATGCATTCACAGCAGGGAATATGCTGCTCTTGCCAAGCTGCATATTCTTGTCCTTTGTTGATGAGCTATAAGCAAACTTTTCTTGTGGGTGTAAACTTTTAATAACTTTTGCATGGTTAGCCCAGTGCTGTGTAATCTCATATCTATTCAAGTTCTGCTCATTTATACTGTGTATTGTATTCATCTCTTATCTATCATCCCCTGTCCCCACACTCCTGCACCCCACTCTCTCTTTTTATCAGCATCACAGGGGCAGGCTGGGTGGGAGCTCTTCTTTCCTAGTGCGGTGTTTTTGCCTTGAGTGGCGTGCAGCCGAAACTGGCCACTTGTTGTCTCGGTAGGTGGTGACCTGGACAGAAACAGAGCCCTATTGCAAGAGGATGAAAAGGCTTCCTTGATTGTGATGATCAATTATTGTACTTGAGACAAAGAGACTCTGAGTGGAATCACCAGAAGTGGAGAGAGAGGCCGATTATGTGATCAGAGGAAGTGGAGAGAGGGCCAGAGTAGTCATCACTAGTGTGAGAGCATATGGGCTGTAAACGTGAAAGACTGGTTGGAAAGAAGATGGAGTTTCATCATCGCCATATCTTGCAAATACACATTTATGTAAATGACAGATTCCGAATTTATTTTGGACTAAGCTGGTTCCCTCATGCTGCTGCAGATATGCAGCTCAGTCCTAACAGCTTTTCAGTTTTTAGCCCTGCAGTTATTTAATTACACAGCTTCTTGGATCAGATTGGTCTAGTTATTCGGTGTATATTTAAGAAAAACACTTGTTTCATACACATCATAGCTGAGAAGGATGTGTACAATACCCAGCTCCTGACATCTTTACTCTGTCTCACAAACTAAGAACCTGGACCTTTTTAATCAACGTCTCATAATTTCTTCAGAAACAAATCTCTTTTAATCACATAGTATCATGAAATTGTAAAGTTCCACACCCCAGCAGTACAACAGTTAGGGACTGGTTCCGTTCACCGTTAGGCTGTAAATGAGTCCAGCATTTCAAACTTCACTGCCAAACAGCACCACATTATTTTATCGTCAGAAACAAGACAAACAGGGGAACATAAATTGTTGTTTATCAGCTCTGCAGATGTGACATACAGGACATATTTCAGTGTTATCTGGACCATTGCACCACACTGATCTTCCTTGACAAATTTAGTTTCCTTTTCTTTTCCTCCCTCTGAGCATCAGGCGTCAGGATCTCCTGCGCTGCACGTTCACAGCCTCACCGAAGGGCACATCATTAAGATGAATGTTTGCCACATTGCTGCCCAGAATATGTAGAACTGTTTAGTCTGCTTGTAATCTGGGCTTTCTGTCTCTCTCTCCGTTGGCCTCATTAAACAAATCTCCATCCTGTCTCCTGCTCTGCCAGTTGGTCTGTTGGCTCAGCTGTGTACAAACACAACCACAAATAAACACAGGATGCATGCAGCTACATGTACTGCTCCAAATTTTCATGTGATCCAAATATAAAAATGAAGGTCTACCCAGAATGAACTCACTATGTACAGTGTACATTAACGGTGCTTACAGCTGAGATTCCTCCAGCCGTCACTGTGATCTTTATTTCTATTACTGAAGCTTTCACATGCAAAGAGTTTGGACCTTTTAAACAGACATTGTATCGAGATGCTTTCCTTTCTATATGCAAGTTATTATGGATGGAAATGAGAACTTTAAGGTTTCACTCTGGCCTTTGTGTACATTTCATATCATTTCTGTGAATGTGTGTATAAAAACATTTGACTTTTGAATTTTTTAGGATCCTCTTAATTAATGCAGCTCATAACCACAGTCACCTCTGGTGACGCATAAACATATTCAAATGGTGGCACCTAGTATCTTGTACCACTGATAAGAGAGAAGCATCACTCAGCAGAACAAAGAGCAACAACCTGCAGTGTATGTCTGAGCTGTCTGTTTCTGTTTCATTCAACCAAAAGTGTTTTGACACGATGACTGTCACAAATCAACCTCAGGCTCAACCATCCTGACCAAACAGATGTCAACACTGCACAGTGAAAGCCATGACAAATGTCTGAAATTTCATTTTAATGAAAGAAGAAAAACTGTTTGTTTTTTTAGCTAGTTTTATTTTAGTCTAAAATGCTGCAGAATTCCCTGAATCCACACAAAAGCATTTGTTCCTTCAGTCTGAAAATGTAAGAAAAGAAAATCACACAGCCTCGATAAGCGGATTACAGCTCAGACGTTGTTGATGCTTCTTGATGGATTAGTGGGATTTTATCATATTTAAGAGTGTTTCTTTTTCCAGGCCCCCTCTTCTAGAAACAACATTTGGTTCTCTGTCACATTACTGCACAGATGGCTGCATCATTTATGGCCTCATTTTGACACGTCTCAGTGCTGTGAAGCATGACAGTATAGTTTTAATAAATCAAGATTAATGCAGCAAAAATGTATTAGTGAGGTAAAAAAAAGAAGATTGATTATAAACCAATGCTAACACAGTCAAACTGATGTTTACTTAGCTTAAACTTAATGGAGACTGAAAACATTACTGGACTCAATGCAGGATCAATAAGAAGTTGTCAAATGTCCACAGCAGGACTCCAGTTAAAAATATAACTGTCCAACCTCTTCCACCAAAGAGCAAAGCAGCACTACCATCACACTCTCAGCAGCACAGTGAGGCAGCGTAGGGTTTCACACCGCAATATGGCAGCAATTTGGCTTCTGCTCTGGCAGAATCTGTCGCCTGTTTCCTTCTGCAAAGGCTGAAATGTTTGAGACTGACTGGAAGGTGAATTTCACGGCCAGTTTGGCAGGAGGAAGTGTCTTTGGTCAGGGTGTTTTTGTAAACAGCTCTTAATGGTTTTAGCCTGCGGTGGGGCCTTTGTGCTACACGTACACTTGCTTGTACTGTATCTACACACAAATCATTCACATGTGCATACTTGCATCTGTACCAGAGACAATCATTTTTTGTCTTAGATGGTTTGTCTGAGCCAAATACATTTATATATTAGCATTAGTTGTCATATTTATTTTGTGTTGCTCAATCACTGAATGGTTTGAGAAGGATGAAAGTGATGTGAATCAGATGCTGTGGTCTCCACAGTCACCAGGTCTCAACCCAGTTGAACAGTTATGGGAGATGTTGGAGCAACGTGTTAAACAGCGTCTCCACCACCTGAGGGAACATCTGTTGGAAGAACGGTGCTCATCCCTCCAGGAGGGTTCACAGACTTGGAGAGTCAGTGCCAAGGTGAAACTGTTCTGGTGGCACGTGGTGGCCCAGCACCTCACTGGGACTCTTTGTGCTGGGTTGTCCTTTCATCTGTCACCTGTCTGTGCACTGATGTTGTAGTCAGTTGTGTTTTTCCTTCATTTTAGCCTTGACTTATCCACTTAACCTTATATTATTGCTGTCTGTAAACCACATATAGTATCTCCACAAGGTCAACAATGGGTTTTTTGTTTTATTTGGCTTAAGGAGGAGGAGAACTTTGTCGGCACTTTAAGGTAAATCAGTATGCCTCAACTGAGGTGGTACTGTGGTGCAGTGGTTAGCACTGCTGCCTCACAGCAACAAGGTTCCAGGCTCAACCCTTGTGGCCAACCCCGGGGCCTTTCTGTGTGGAGTCTGCATGTTCTCCCTGTGCCTGTGTGGGTTCTCTCCAGGTGCTCCGGCTTTGTCCCACAGTCCAAAGACATGTCGGACCGACTGGTGACTTTAAACTGCCCATGGGTGTGAGTGTGAGTGCAGTCTGTCTCTGTGTGTCAGCCCTGTGATGGACGGGCCACCTGTGCAAGTTACTAGAGCAGACTTCAAAACAGGGTCAGTTTAGAGAACGTGTGTTTCCACTCAGTGTGTATTTGGATTTTTGAACACATTAAGTGTGTGTGCAGAGCATATTAAAAGTAGATATTCAGGTTACTATTTCTGCCTCCTCTGTCTTTTGCTATCAGCCCTTTCAGTGCCCCTAATGCCTCGTAACTACAAACTCAAAGTACGGTGAAAGTCAGCTTTGACAACTTCTCTCAGTCACCCTCCTGTAGCCCAGACTGCATGACTGCTTTTCCAGGAAGTGGGGGTCAGACCATGTTGAGAAATGACTCACCTTCCATCAGGAGAATGTTATGAGCTTTTAACTAAGTGTACCATCTCTTCACAAAGGCCTATCTAGTCTAAAGCGTTTGGCAGACAATAGGCTAGAGGAGGGTGCCCAGTTGTAATGTTAGTAATCCTGGAACATAAGAATTTCCATTTGGTCTTTAAGTGGTATAAGTCTGATTCAGCTCAAGTGGTTTAGAAGATTATTGACATAATGGCCTTTAAACTTGGCAATGAATTCAGCTTTTCTGCTGAGCTGCAGTTGTACATTTGCTGTGTTTCTCAAGGACCCTTCAGACTGGAGCAACTGCAGCCACTTGATACCTGTTCTTTGTCACAAAGTTCAGTAGCAGTAGCATCAAAGGACAGGAAGACAAAGCTCGGGTCTTCATATTCTCTGCAACAGCAGTTTGACCATGTCAAGCCTTTGGTGCTGTTTAGACTTGGGTCATCTGTATTACAATGCTGCAGCTGCCATAACCTGGGCCAGAGGAGGCCCTGTCCAGAGAAATCAAAGCTAAACATCAACATCTCATCTTTTTTATAAGAACTTGCAGGTAATGCGTTAGTTTTCTGCAAAGTAAAATAAGAGGGAAGGGGACTAGAGGGTGTATGTACGTACTGAATAATGCACATTGTTTGTTGTCAGTTTTAAAGAGTTATTAAGTCAAATATGCAACTGAACTCTAATGTCCACAACATAAACTGGTGATTTCTGGTCTTCCAGTCTCACTTTCCACCAGGTGCTACTCACTGTGCTCCTGCTCTTTGTTATGAAAGTGTTCATTCTGAGTGGCTGCCAGTAGGTAAAGGTGATAACTAATCTGTCTCCTCACCCCTTCTTCTGCTTCCTCTCAGGTATTCTGTCCTTCACAACGGGAACCACACAGAGCAGGAGAAGAAGTCTCTGCACACCGACACAGAGTCCCACGAATCCTGCTTGTGACAAACGATGACTCCTCAGCCACATTTCTAATAGCTTTGACTCTCCCACCACCACCACAGGAGCCACTGTAGCCTTCACACATCTGGAGCTGACATCCAGCACAGATGCTACAACAGAACTCCACAAACCAGAGCCCTGATGGAACGTTAGGGTAACAGGCGAGGAGTGGCACGTTGCCAGGGATGCATCTGGTTTTATAGCTCAGCTAAAGGTAATCCTGTGGTCTCTTAATGTGGCCGGGACCAGAGTGAAACCAGTTTTCTGTCTCTCTAATGCTGTCACGTTAGTTCTCCTGTCTGCAGGCCCACACAGACTGTCCTGGCCGGTACAAACTGATTTGGAGCCAGAGTATGACTGTGATCCCATCAACAGGGCTGCCGGCCTCTCTCTGTGAAACCCAGGTTGTCCGGAGGAGAAGTGGTGGCTTTGATGGAGCTGTAGGAGATTTTTCACACCATGAGATGTGATAAATGACTATGTCTGGGAACCGTGGAAGTGAATTATGTTGCCAAAGCTATTTGTTATACATACAGTGGATATAATTCTGATTATATGATGCTCTTTGGTGTTTTCCAGTGCAAAATCTGAAAGATTTTCAAAGATTGTTCCTCGTATAACAAACAAAAAATAGTTGGCAGAAATGAGCTCTTAAAACAAGTGTTATTCATCAAAAGAGGCAGAGTTTAGAACAGTATTTCTTTTGCCAAACATCAGGTGTCTTAGCAATGACACAAAGTGAAGGTCGAAGCTTCCCAGCTTTGCTAAATCCTCACTACACTGAAAAGAACCAGTAGTTGTAAGGCTGCGTTTAATCCTTGACCGAAACTGTCGAAGTGCATTATTACAGAGGCTGCTAGCTCACACTGTGTTCATCACTCCACAAGGCTCCGTCTGAATCACCGTTTCTTTTTAAGTCCCCCACAGTAAGAAATTAGAAGACCACAATGCACGAGCACACGAAGCTGCTTGTGAATGACTGTACAGACTTTGTGATGATGTCGGGCTATTGTGTGCTTGTGTGAGCATGAGGTTTTTTCAGCGTGTGTGTGTGTGTTTCTACGGTGTGTTTTCATATGAGGGTGCTGTGTGTGTGGGAACGTGCTCCTGTGTGACGTTGGTATGTATGAAACATCCTTTCCCCATCATCCCATGTTGCTACCATTCTGTCTCAACACAAGTTATTCTCTCCACCTCTGCTCACCTTGAATGTTAAAGAATCTACCAGAGATGTTTCTGTTTTATATTCATGGAAACTGAGAATGCTAAATGATGTTTACCTGTACCTGTGATGCTACTCCGCTGTAGTTCATTTCCTGTCGTTCTCCTGCAAACTATCCTCTGTCGGTCGTCACTTACAGTATATAGCTTGTTCAAAACGCCACTCACTGGGCCCTGAAGGCTGAATCTCACTACATGGTTAGACAGCAGTTACACTCCACATAGTATTAATTACTGCTGCTGTCATCTGAATATACGATATGACCACTGGGGTGAAATGTTTTCATTATGACAACAAAGGGAAGAGAATCAGATTATACTCACAGATCAATCCAACACATTCTAACTTTTTATTGCTCTGCTTCTTTTACTGTGAAGGGAAACAGAGCATTGCTCATTTTTCAGATGCTGAAAACCTTACTTTCATTATAGATTTGCTCTTACATCATCATGTAAAGCTGAATAACTTTTTAAAATGCTTTTGCATTGGGTGTATAGTGTACAGTATGGTAGGGAGTATAGTTCATAAAGAAAGGCTGTGTAATGTCAAACCCTGATTGTTCTATCCCTAGTCAATATTTTATATTGACAGTGAATCAGCTGACTGTGTATAATGTGAAGGGGGTCACCTGCAGTGTCAAACCCACAGAGAATTACCACCAGCAAGGCTCTGTGGCCTTGTTTTAACTCATGTCTTTTTGTAGTACAGCACATTGACTGGTGGGTTCAGTGGTGTTAGTGCTCACAAGCTGCTGTTTTCTGTATACATGTTTTAATAAATCCATTTTATGCTACTTGCCTTGCACCAAAGGGCAGATAGACTCAGTTAGGGACCAGCTGGTGAAGGCTGTGGAACATACAGCATCTTGATTGACACTACACCAAATAATACCAAAACAAAGCACAGTAGTGAAGCAATAGGAGAGACGGTGGTACATACTTTGCCATATTTGAATAAACACTGTAGAAAGTCAGTAATGCCGCTGTGTTTTGTGAAGTTCCCGGGATGTTGTGATTTACAACAGTCCTTCCAAGAAGGAAACCGGGTTTTCCAGCCACTTTCCAAGGCTTCAAATTGTGCGTCCGATACTCAAAAGACAGGTTTTAGGATGGAAGATCACTTTAAAATCCATGTGAATGGTTGCCATAATGGGTTGAAACAGGACCGGTAGACAACACAACTACACAATACAAGTGGACAGAGTTATGGCAGTTAGACACCCCATTGAGTTTGAGTCAACTGAAAGGAAAGGTAGCAAGAATGGATTCCACTGAGCTCCTGTTGATTTAGTGATTAAGAAAAACCTAATGAGGAAATACCTGCTTTTGGGTCCAGACTGGTCAGTCCTCAGTTCATGATGTTACACTTGACTCTCCAAGCTTGAAAAGCTGTTGTGAGAAATCAGAATCTTTCCCTGTGTACCCATAATCCCTTCTGATGTCAAATCACTTCTTTTTGTTGATTCAGATGGTTTTGTTCACTTCAGTGCTTCAGAAAAACACTGTTAAAGTTTCACTTGCTCCTGTTCACATCCTGTTCCTCAGTCAGTGTAACAGGCAGACTGGTGAAGTGTAATGCAGGTATCAGCAAAGAAAACCAAAAGAGTCAGTACCTCCAAATACAGCAAGTTAAAAAAAAGTTCAGAAAAATATAAAGTTGAATTGAAATGGAAATTCAAGGTGGCTGTCGTTCTGAATCCTGCTCAAAGTCCCCCAGCTTCACTACTCCTTTGCATTCTGTTGCTGCCTCACTGCCACTGCTTAACTCACGAATTCATGAGGAAGTTCTCCTGTACACTGCGCTGCTTACGGAGTAGAAAGCTGACGAGGATGCATAGACATGAGGCCGTCACAGGAGAATACTGCAGTACAATATGTACGCTGAATTACTGCTGCACTTCTACTGCGTTTCCATGAGGAGTTTAGCTCAGTTTTGTTTGTGGATATGATGGTCTGGTCTGGTGACGTGTACAAAGAGAGCTGTCTGTACCACAGGAAAAATACATGATGGGAAGCTTTTGAAATCTGTAGGGTCTAAGAGTTTTTGTGGCTGCTTGCTTAATTTTCTTAAGTATAAATTGCTTTTTGTTTGCAAACTGTGACCTCTTTCATAATGGAAGCACAGACACTTTTTATGATTTAAGAAAAGGTGGATTTAGAGATGTAGTAACTTTAGTTAATCTGATTATGAAGCTTGAAAGAGGAATTCTTTCAATTGATAATCAACTTTAAAACACACCAAAACACATATCGACACATTTTGAGGTACATTTGCATATTATTTAATTCCCAATATACAATCTTTCTAACATAATGGCCATCTAAGTAACCTATTTATATACAATTTATACAAACATCAAACACTGATTGTAGACATTGTGCACATGGAGCAGCAGCCTACTGATTTGCCCCCCTTTGCATAGTCTAGTTTGTCTGTTTCATTTTTAAGATTTCCCATTTAGGGAGAGAAAGCTCCGACTCAGCATTTGAAAACAAAATCTATAATTTGATTTATAGAAAATAAAAACAATGTTTTTATAATAAATCAAAGAAGCTCAAAATTGTGTGTTATTTTATCAGAGTTCTACAAAAGACAAATCAAAGAGATAGTCATTTCTAATCTCATTTCAGTTTGTATTGATAAACTCTGCCTGCAGTTTGTTTCACAAAAGGTGCACTTTTTTAAACTCCCAGAGTAAAGTGGTTTCACACTCCTGATTGTTTTGGATTTCTGACTCTGATTATGTGTAATCATTTCTTCCTTTTCAGATTAGATCATTTAAGCAAATTCAGAATGTCAGTTTTTCTTTTGAGTTTTTTTCACTATACAGAAAAGTGGTGGTGTTTTTTGCAGAAGCATCCTTGCGGTTGACTTCAAGAAGCCCTTGTGTCCTCACTGTCCTTCATTAACATGATGTCTCACTGCAGAGTGAGGCCCCGACAGGCTAAGAGCAAAGTCTGCAGTATACAAACTAATGCACAGCTCTGCAGAAGCTTTTTGAATCAGATTCGCCCTCTTTTCAAAGCAGACATATTCATGTTTCGGCATCTTTAAACCCACCACTTTCTTTTCAAGCAAATATCTGTTTGTTGTTCTTCTGGGGGTATAAAAGAGGGAGACTTTGTGGCACTGAATATTTTGTTTTGATATGTTCTGCCTATTTGTCTTTTGCTGCATTTGTGAAAGTCACCCACTTTCACAAATACAGTTTCCATGACATCTGTGAGTCAGTCAGTGCATATGTCCATTCTTGTGTGTGTGTGTGTGTGTGTGGAAAGCTCCTCAACAGCCTAAATTTAGGAAACTCAAGCTCGCCTACCCTCATGAACTTTAATGAAAACCATTTTTCTAACACATCATAAAGTGGGCTATTTCAGGTAGAATGAGACAGAAGCGATATAAGGAGAAGAAACATTTTTAAGTTATGAGTCTATGATTTTTCTTTCCAGTATTTCTTTCCTTGGTTCATCAGATGTATTTGAGCCTGATGTTTCTATGTGATGGTGAAGTCAGTGCTGGACGTGAGCAGTGGACAACTCACAGATCTGCCAGATGCACAGCACCACCAGTCTTCTCTGATCCCTGGCTTGCTTTAGTCACCTTAGGCACCAAATGCTTACTAGATTGTAGTTTTTACTGCAGAAAACTGCTTTAACTCTTAAACACTGTCACATGAACATCCAAAACCTGACATTTGATTTTCAATTTTACAACAGACCTAATCTCAAAATTTCTTAATGCTGTTATTTTTTTTTTAACTAACCAGACAGTAAATACTGAAAACCATCTTTATAAAATGAAAACTGAAATTTGAAACAGCAGCTGATGACTGCTGTTCTGGCAGCGTCATATTTTGCTCACAAAGCAATACAGACAGAATTTGGAAGAAAAGGGAGAAAGAAAAGCTTGTGCAGTCATAAATGACAGAATGTTGAGAATTCTGTGCAATGTTAAAACCAAACCTTGTGGATGGTTACAGCCTCAAAGCACCACTGCCACTAGCACAGACAATGTCAACACCGTGTGTGTGTGTCCTGTGCTCACTTTGTACAGCTGAACTGTGACTGCTGGAGTCGCTGTGTTGGATAAATCTGAAGTAAGGTATTTATTTCTTTTGAGAATCATTTAAAAGTTTCTTAATGAATTAAATACTATTAAGAATCCATTCATTTCCACTTTACCTTAAGCAGCATCTGTAGCCTTTCAAAGCCTTTATCCCATGATGCAGTGTTTATGTCAAATTCATGTCCAAAGTAACATTAGTTGTCTTTGAAATATTTGTCATGTCAAATATCTCATCAAATGCTGTCATACCTGTGAGAAAGCAGTTTGTCCACCATGATCACTGGTTTGGGTTCATTCTTTTTGGCACATACTGTATGTGTGTGACTGGATCGTGTGCATCATGTTCTCAGCACAGCCTCTTTGCCTCTTCATTTGCAAATTGAAAATGTTCTTGGGAAATGTTTTTTAACATCTCACCTGCCTTATTAAACACCAGATGCAGCCACTGTCTAACTCTTACTTCCTTTTAATTTCTATCTGGCAAATGTTGCAAGAAATAGTTCTTGGGTTTACAGGATTCGGAACTAGTTTGGACCATTATCATTATACAAAGATTTGTACTGATATAAAAAAGGATTTCAACAACAGCTGCCATTTGTGAGTTTTGTTCCACGTCACTCCTGCTCTGTAGCTCTTCCATCCATTTGTTTTTACAGCTTACAGCATGAATAACGACAAAACACCCACAAACTGTCTAAAGGAGACAAAAAAAAACTTTTAAAAACTCTTCAGTATTTATTTTGACAGAACAAAATGGGTATTTTCATGTATTATAAGAAACTAAAACGCTGCTCTTTCAGGGAGCTGAAATGTGTACGACTTTTTTCTGTTGCTATGTGACAGTTCTGATAAAGGCAAACTAATAATTAAAGAGATGTTGATAATCCTGGTGTTGGCTTTCTTTGTGACTTCGATAAGAGTGCACGCGTCAGTCAGTTAGCCTGCATGAGCGCAATGAGATAAAGCACTGATTTCATTCAAAGGATTTCTGTTTCCTCCCTGAGCTCCCTCTCTCTGTCTCTGTTTCCTCTTTTGTATGTGAAGCACTGGCAACTTGGAGGCGCTCAGGAAGATGAAGTTAGAAAGAAAAACTCATACAGAAGAAGCACATAAAGAGCTTCTTCCTAGCAGCGACACTTGAGAGTGATGAATGTGAGGATTACTACAAACCATCTCAGCTGTGTCAGGGTGAAAAGTCCCCCTCTTTGTGTTTGTCACTCATACACTGAATGAATTATGACAATTTGGGATTCTGCTCTGTGAACCAAATCAATTCAGTTTGTGTACTGAGCCGCAGCCGATTTCCTTCCATTGGTTTCATTGTATAGATTTTTTAAAAGATATTCAATTATAATTTCATAAAAAATACAAAAGCAGAAACATCTGGCATCTTTGCTGAAAAATGATTACATTTCTATAAGTGATCGATGATTTATGGGTATAGCTTGTTTGATAGCGCTCTTAATGTTGCAGAGGAGCTAGGTTCAATCAGGCCCATGCACATTTTTTTCAGCTCAAGAATTCAAGCTCTGGGGTGTGTTCATGATATCCTGAGCCAACAACTGTGTGTGTATAGCTTCCAGCTGTGTCTATAGTGGCTGCATATTTTGGTCTTAATCAGTTAGGAGACAATAAAGAAGTGCATTTTTAGCTTGTACCCTGTGTTAATGTACAGTGCACCTCTTAAATGGCCATTCTACATGACCAGAACCTGCAGCTTTTATGCTCACACTGTATGGATCAACTGTCAGACATAGGTTTCCTCACAAAGAAAAAAAGGAACTTTTATTGATCGGCGACCAGGCGGAGGTAAATATCAACATTTAACCTGACCATATAGTCTAAATAGCTCGTACGTGAGATGAAGTTAACATCTGTTCAGTGTTTCATTTAACTCTTTGTAGCTGAGTTGTCTTTACACTCCCCTCAGTGTTGCAGGTTTAATAGACACGTACCTTATGTATTGACTTGTTAGTTAAACAGATTAAGCTCCTGGGCCTAAACAGCATACTGCCCTTCTGTCTCAACACAAGTCATATTTTCTTTCTATAGCCCAACATCACAAATCACAGATCTATTTTACTCTACTCATTTTTTTGTGCTATGAATTAAAAAACTTCAGTAAGCACCAATTATAAACACTTGGACTACAGGGTTTTGTTAAAGCACGCATTAACTTCATTTTCAAATGCATTACCTTACTGGGGCAAGATAAAATGATAATAATAATAATGATACACAAACGTACACAGTTTCATCCAGCATACACACAGCACAACATCAGCGCTATGTAATGAGTCTGGTTTGACTTTCCCCTGTTTTGCAGTCTTCTGGCAGCCAGTCCACGGCTGCGAGCTGCAGGCCAGCAGGGACCAGCAGCTCTGCAAAGCGAGAAAATGAGAAATTAAAAGTTGCTGGTTACTCTGCTCAAAATGTGTCACAAACAAGGCAGAGCTCTGAGTGCAGGACACAGACACACAGAACAAACATGCCTTTGGTCAAAGATAAAAGCATGCACATTTGCACAGAGATTAATTAAAAAAATTTTGTGCACATACAGTGATAAACACTTGTGAAAAATAAAGAACACTAAACTAATAATGACTGACTACACTTATCAGCATCATTCGGCATCATCTGTACCGGGGATATCAGATGTATTTATTATCTGTTAAATAATTTGTGTCTATGCCTCTCGTTGTTATGGACAAATTAACAAATAATTGCAACCAATCATTCATTTCAACTGAAGAATGTAATAAATCACATCAGATAAATAATTGGGAAACATGACTTGAAGATTTCAGTTGACTGTTGTGAAGTAGCATCGTTACTTTGTTATATCAGAGTGTTGTATTTGCTACCCCAAATTTATTTAATTTGTTGTTTTTCCTTTCTACCTCTGAATAAAAATGACCAGAGACAGTGGCATAGCAAGATAAATGGAAAAGAAATAGAGACAAAAAGACTAGAGGGGCAGACAGAGATAGTGAAGGTAGCAAAGCAGTCAGCCCACACATCGAGTCAGTTCAATTATAAAGAGATAATCCTGTTGAGAGCCGCTCTCTGGCCACTCATTGTCGGTGGCAGCAACGAATTGTCAAGGGAACAGACAGCGAGCTACGATATGATGCTGCAACATCCCAGTGTGACATTGAGCCCCAGCATGGATTTGTCACACTGATTAAAAAGCCTCCATGTGAGGTGTAAAAACTGAAACTTGTCGTTATAAATTGTAATATATTAAATAAGAATCCAGAATCTTTGTACAGATTTTGCTTTCAAATCAAATCAAATTTTATTTGTATAGCACCAAATCACAACAAAAGTAATCTCAGGACACTTTACAAAGCAAGGTCTAGACCTTACTGTCATCACTATTATTACTTAGGGAAAACCCAAATAATCCCTCTTGAGCAGTGACATGGAGGGGAGAGGGGAGGAGAGAGAAACTCAGAGCATCATGGGGCCCCCCAGCAGCCTAGGCCTATAGCAGCATAACTAAGGGAAAGATCAGGGTCACCTGATCCAGCCCGAACTATAAGCTTTATCAAAAAGGAACGTCTTAAGTCTAATCTTAAAGGTAGAGAGGGTGTCCGCCTCCTGAACTGAGACTGGGAGTTGGTTCCATAGGAGAGGAGCTTGATAGCTAAAGGCTCTGCCTCCCATTCTGCTTCTGTGGACTCTAGGAACCACAAGTAAACCTGCACTCTGAGAGCTTTGTTGTGATGAAGCTCTATGAGGTCTTTAAGATACGATGGAGCCTTGTCATTAAGGGCTTTGTATGTTAGGAGAAGGATTTTAAATTCTATTCTGAATTTTACAGGGAGCCAGTGGAGAGAAACTAATATGAGAGAGATATGATCTCTCTTGCTAGTTCCTGTCAGTACTCTGGCTGCAGCATTTTGGATTAACTGGAGGCTGTTTAGGGAATTATTGGGACATCCTGATAGTAAAGAGTTACAGTAGTCCAGCCTGGAAGTAACAAATGCATGGACCAGTTTTTCAGCATCACTTTGAGACAGGATGCTCCTAATTTTTGCAATATTGCGCAGGTGAAAGAAGGCAGATCTAGAGACTTGGTTTATGTGTGATTTAAAGAACATATTCTGATCAAAGATGACTCCAAGGTTCCTCACAGTAGTACTGGAGGCAAGAGCTACAGTGCCTTGCGAAAGTATTCGGCCCCCTTGAACTTTGCGACCTTTTGCCACATTTCAGGCTTCAAACATAAAGATATAAAACTGTAATTTGTTGTGAAGAATCAACAACAAGTGGGACACAATCATGAAGTGGAACAAGAAGTGTATAACGTCGAACGAAAGAAAAACATACAAGACACGGTGAAAACACAAAACTCACATGTCCTTATTAACAGTCTGAGGTCAGAGCCAGCAAACACATCCAACAGAGGTGATCCAAAATACGTAGTCCAGAGGGAAGTCCGATATCATACACTGTGGCAGTCTGAGACAAGAGGGCAAAGCAGAAACGAATATACCAAGGTAACAGTCCGGGTCAGAAACACAAGATACAAAACCGAAGGAAAGCTGGAGAGTCAGAGCTGCGGTCTAGAACAATCTGGCAGCGCCGTTGTGGGAGGACGCTGCCTAAATAGAGGTATAAACAATAAGGAGCAGGCGAAACTAATGCGAGTGATGAAGAACGTAAAAAGACCGAAACTAAGGTGAAAACAAAAACAGGAAGCAACGTCAAAATAAAAGCTGGACCGAATCATGACACATAGCCTGTTAATAGAGAGAGGTTAATCAGATCTAGTATGGATGTGTTGATTAGGGGAAAGATGTCTTTGAGCAGCCTGGTCGGGATGGGGTCCAGGAGACATGTTGATGATTTAGATGAAGCAATTGTTGAGGTCAACTCAGAGAGATCTATAGGGGAGAAGTAGTCCAAGTATAAATGAGGTCTTACAGATGTTTCTAAAGCCATTGTAGTAGATGGCACATCTGCGAGAGCTGTGGGAGTGGTTCGACCCATTTTTTCTCTAATAGTTGTGATTTTATTTGTAAAGAAGCTCATGAAGTCATTGCTGCTGAGATCTAAGGGAATGTTAAGCTCAACAGCACTGTGGCTCTTTGTCAGCCTGGCTACAGTGCTGAAAAGAAACCTGGGGTTGTTCTTATTTTCCTCAATCAGTGATGAATAAAATGTGGTTCTGGCACTATGAAGGGCTTTCTTATATGTTATTAAACTATCTTTCCAGGCTATGAAAAACTCTGTTAATTAGCGGTTACACAAGACACAGAAAATATCACTGCTCCCTCACATTCAGCCTTAACAAGCGGATGTCTTCTAGTCTTTACTGTTTCCACAGGAAGACAACTGACCTTTAACCCAGAGCAATGGAGAAGGTCCAGTGCAACCATTAAGACAATTTCCTTCTCAAGGGAGAAAGAGACAGTGGAGGAATGAATGGAGAGAAGAAAGGCAGAGAGGTGAGCATGAAGCTCTGTTCATGAATAATACATTTAGCTATATTTGTAAACGGAAACGTAAAATAGCTATGCATGTCATCAGAAGCATAGCTTGTGTACAAGTGGAAAATGTACTAAGGGACTGGGAAGCTGGCATTTAATTTTATGCTCAGATTGTGTGTTTGCATGTATCTATACTTTACATAAATACACCTCAGCTGGTCCAGTGGCACCTGAGACTTTGGTTCTCAAGAACTATTTAACGTGCCTGTACACTGTAGAAATTACAGATCAAATGTTGTTGTACATTATTAATGTTTTCTAGCCCCTGCTCAGTGCCCTGTTCACTGTCTGTCTAGTGTGTAATGTATGTCTCTGTGTGTTTCTAGTGTGTGTTTTCCTGATGTGTCTGTTTGTGTGTGGGTGTGTCTGCTTCCTTTTCTTGATTGTTGAGGTTCGGGCAGATTGTGAGTACCTGGGTCCACTGTCTTAGGGTTTAACAGCCCCAGTGCCTGGTGTCATGGCAGCCTGATGCTGATTTATTGTTTTGTTTTAGTTAGATTCTGGTTGCACCCTTCAACATTGCAACACTATACATGCAACCACACTTACGCTGCTGATACAGCTCATGTTTTGTTTAAATTTCTTAGTCTATTATGCTGGCAATTTGCACCTCTCATTTTTGATATGGCCTAAGTGCAGGTTCATGACAAGACAGATATGAGAGACAATGCCAAAGTGTCCCAAGATAAAGTTTGTCTAACGACTGCTGTAGCTGCTGGCTAAGGGCAAACTCTGACTAAGCAAAGCTAAAATCAAACTAAAACTTCTAAAACCTCTGACTCAGCTAATTACCCTTCCTCTAAAGTGTTTCTTGACCACTCTTAAAATGGTTTAATTAGAATGAAAGAGAATGAATGTATAGTGTGTCAGGTATGGTAGAGATTCTTCATTCTTACAGAGAGGAGAGACAGTGAGACAATGAGCCACAGGCTGATGCAAACAGACACAGATACATTAGTCTACCAATGGAGCTGATTAGTTTTTGGAATGATTATCTTCCCTGTCTGAGCTAAACGTGATTACTTCTTCACAATAGGTTGGTAGAGGATGAAATCAATTACACATTTGAAGGCTTATTATTATAGTATTCGACTGCCAAGACAGGCAACGGAACAGGCGCCCAACCTGTAGTGATTCATTAAACTGTTGAAGACCTGTCTGATTAGATTGTGGCTGAGAGAGGAAATAAAATGCAGGATTCATAATGCCAAATGAGCAATGAGGTGGACAAGTGGTGCATATTAGGCTGAGTGGTAGAGCTGTTGTCTACATTGACAGAGAGGAGAAGGAAGGGAGGCACAAAGCACGAGCACTCGTGCTCGACGGAGGGAACAGAGGGTTAGCGAGAAGCAGCAGTTTTCAAACCTTTGTCAAGACGTGGGCCAAACTGTGGATAAATAGGTTTGATAGACCCACCAGATCCTTTACGTTTATAATTGTCAAAGAACTATAGTTAAAATTGTAAGAAATAAATGTAAATCATATAATTGTGATTGTCCCATAATCCAGGAGCTCATATTTGCTTAGCTCTGTGCCAGTGGTCCTCCTCACTGGGGTTTTGACATTAGCTGCTCAGAGCTGTTGTTAAATGATAATACATAGTTCCTGATCATTAAAATGTCCATGGATGTTAACTCACAGTGTTTCCGCTGGTACTGTTCTGTTTGCAGTTATATTACCATTACTGGACCAAAACACTGTCATGTCTGTCACTGTTACACTTTCCTCTGCTCCTTCATTCAGCTCTCTTTTTCAGAGCCTGCGATTCCCCACCTCTCACTACGGAGCATTATACAGCTGCATGTTTTGACTGAGCTCCTGTTAGCTCATTTGCTTGCCACTTGATCAAGTAAAGACTGTTTTACTGTCATTTTCTCTCTGTGTATCTTCATTTGGTTTCAGAGTGTGTGCTCAGCTGTTACATTCACTGCATCATACTGCAAGCAAGACGCTGACTGCTTCAATATTGTGTTGTAAAATGTTGCTCATCATATATACAAAACACCTGGTGAGACCAGTGCACTGTTTAATGCTCCTCTATGTCTAAAGTGTGTTCCTCATTTGATCTTTATGGTGCTTGGTTGAGCTGAACAAGTCTAAGCTGTGGGAGAAATCAGAGACTGAGATGCAAGGGGACACCTTTTCCTGTTCTCCGCTTGCATTTGAATATGAATGAAATATGAAAGTGTAATGTGACCAAAGATGGATACCTAACAGACAAAATGTAAATGCAAATATCCTATGAGACATGGTTTCATCCCCCTTAATAAAATGTCTCATGGAAGCTGCCTCCACAGCTTCACATGTGAGCCAAAAGCAGAGTCACTCTTCATTCATTGCTTCACATTCTCTGCTAAACCCATCAGACAGATTGACAGTAGGCCATTATTCCTTCATCTGCATAAGGTCTTTTCATTTCTAGCCCAACATGTTAAATGGATTTTCACTCACAATACCCATTTGCAGCCGCTCCGCAATTGTTCTGGTTTGAGACGGCAGGAGAAAATTATTAACAGATACTGAGTAGAAAAAAACCTCACCTGAGAATCAGACCATTGTTCCTCGGCCTGCATGTCTAACATTTGAGGTCTAGTGGCTGTGATCAGAAGACAGGGAAACCAACGGTACAGAACACCTTGTGATGTGCTGACTAATAGGAAAGTGTGTAATATTCAATATTTATTCTGTCTGTTGTTGACATTTCATGTGTGGTCACAGGGAAGAAGAATGGTGTGGGGTGTCCAGCGATGTCTGCAAAACTGCATGTTTAAGGGCTACAGGTGTGAAAAGACAACCTACTGATCACCAACTAATGTCATCAGTGACATCAGCTCCACTATATCCTCACATTTTATTTCCACCTTCGTCAAAAAAAAAAGAGGTTGCATCAAGTAAAACTCACTCAGGTTTGAAACTATATGTGGCAATTTTCTTAAGCACAAGTTGTCAGACGCCACAAGCCATCCATTACCTCCCTCCACCTGGAAGCCACCCGAGCCCTGCTGTCGCATGTGCAGAAAGCAAAAACAGACATAGTCTGTTTTAAAACTTAGAAAATAATTTTTGAGAATGCTTTTAACACTGATAGAGTTTTAATTTAGAAAATTCTTTGTATTTCCTTATATTCTTTAAACCTGTGCGTTATCTTATTCAGCTAATGAGTCATTAATGTTTCTTCTCCTTACATCATTTTAAATCACTGCTAAAACCACATGATGCTCATAATTTGGTTCCATTGTAGGCTACACAGGCTTGTGGGCTGACTTTTACGAAGCCCCTGAAGTCCTAAAAGATAATATTTTTTATGTGAACAAGATGTGTTGTTTGCACAATAACCACATCAACAATTATTATTATTCTTGTTTACACAAAAAGAAAAAGTTAGGACTTCATGGGCGCCATAGAAAACAATACATTGAATGGTACGATGCTGTATAAAGCTGTTTATTATTTCAAGTAAACACTGAGTAGGGCATTGACAGCAGTTCAATTTAACTGCCACTGTAATATGAAGGGCCAATGTTTGGACCATACACTGGTCTTCAAATTATCTACTGTTTCTATCTTTCACCTGCAGGTGCATCCAAAGCCCACAAGCCATCTCATCAGGAAGTAATCACAGTTGTAATGTCAGGTGTGGAGGAGAAACAGACTGTTGGACGCGCTCTGACCAATGGGCTGCCACAGAACATTGCGGCTGACCAATCAATTCATACCACCAATATGGCGCAGCCCTGTTCCTGCAGTGCTACCATACACAGGGTAATTCCGGTAAGACTGCTTCATGAATTAGCATGAAATGAGTGTTTGGTTCAGGTGTATTGAAGTGGTTGGTTGTCATAAAGCGTTATCTTTTTAAACAAGGTGTTTACCCAGAGGCTAGCATTAAAAGCATCTAAAAGTAGGGCTAACTAGCTGTTAAGTGTGGATGGACGGCTTGTTAGCTTAATGCTAAAGTTTCCTGAGAATGTTGTGCACGCAGATGCTACAACTAGATGCAAATTAGTCCCTGCGTCACCATACCTGCTGTTGTGCCATAAAGCGATTACAGCTAATACTTTGTTACTGGAAGGGGGTTTCGGCCTCAGATCACCTTCTTCTTCTTCTTCTTCTTCTTCTTCTTCTTCTTCTTCTTCTTCTTCTTCTTCTTCTGATGTTTATTGGCGGTTTGCAAGCCAACTTAAGGTGCATTACCTTCTTCTTCTGATTTTTATTGGCGGTTTGCAAGCCAATTTAAGGTGCATTACCGCCACCTGCTGGGCTGGAATGTGGAACAATGATACTCAGATCACCTTCATTTCAGTCTGAGTATTTCTTGCATCACTTCGCTTTTTGTAGTAGATGTGTTCTGTTTTGATTAATAAAATATGTTCTAACGCCATGTATTAAAAACAGGGCTGTAATATGTGATACTCAAGAAAGCACTATTTCCAAACATATTGTTATTTAAATTTTATATAAACAATAACATCTGATTAAAAACCTTTCTTTGGTAGAAGAAAAATGCCCTATACAGATGTCTTGGCCCTTCAGCTGTAATTTAACTGGTAAAGTAGACTGAATGGTTGATAATTAAAATATAACCCACAAGGGTGAAATAAAGGTAATGTGAGGCAGAAAACCATTTTCAGTTTAAAGATATTAGCTTTATTTACTTTTTAGCATGGAGTAAACTGCATATTACTAGTTTAACTTAAATTATCACAAAGAACTGTTTATAGTGTACAGCACAAATACACAGTCAGTAGAATGACTGCAAAGTGGGTCATTTTCTTTATTTTATATGTAGCCCTCATCAGCAACGTTATAGTCCATTTTCCATAATAGGCTATAAGAAGACATCAACATCTGTTTTATGAATAAATGCTTTTTAAACATGGTATATATTTTGTTTCTGAAACTGGCTGGGTAATGATCTATACCTACTTACTTGGGTGTGTTTACAGAGGAGTCTCATTTGGGTGATGCAATTCTAGGTTGAATATGATAAATCTAACATCAGCATAGTAATTTCCTGTCATGGCATGTGTCCTGTTTGACAAGACAAATCTTTTCTTTTTGCAGGAGCTGCTAAAAATAACTGAAGCATGTCTGCTGACTGAAGTCCAAAGAGAAGTTCAACACAAGTGTTTCAGCCACTCTGTGAAACGCTCGTTGGTGAACTGCGCTGCCAAGATTTTGAACAATCCTGGTATGTTTTTACTGCTTTCATTTTGCAGTTACAGAACAGAGAAGACAGCAGCCTGGCATGGCGGCCAGAGGCTGATCATAAACTGTATTTTGTTCTCTGTGATAAAAAATTGAAAGCCCTGTCTAATATATCATAGCTTTGTAGTATTCTTCTGTATGTGTGTAAGCATTGCACCTCTAAACAGCAGTGAAAGCTCCAGTCGATAAGACCATGAACTGGAACTTAAAGTTGACAGCAAATGACCACGTGCCAAGTGAGCGCCTTTGGCGATTAATACATGTGTATACAGACTGTATGTATCTTCTGTACATAGACAGTCTCCTGTTCGTCCTCATTTCAGTGATTTGTTACAACTATCGCTCCTTTGAATTTGCTTTTACCGTATGTGTACAGGTCTGTTGTCAGCCCTTGCATCTCATTTGAACAAGCGTTATTTGTGTTGATCCAGGCTGACTCACAATAGACAAATGACAAGAATAAGGCTAAATCCCTGACTCCTCAGCAGAATATTAAGTCAAGAGCTGAAGAGGCAGTAAGGCCTTGTAGCAGAAATGATTTGTGTTTGAGATTAAATGTTTAAAAAACAGGGTTATTAAAATAAAATGCCATGGAGTTTAGCTCAGCTGGGAGTAGCTGGTTGAAAAGGAACATTTGTGATTAGTTTTGATGGGGCATGCTGCGCCATGCTTACAGTAGAGAAGCCCCCCGAGTCCCCAGCTTCGTAATGTTTTGAAGACAGGAGAGGAAAGATGTGACACTGACAGGGGGAGGAAATTAGATATGAAAGGTGAAAAGTCAGGGTTAGAAGGTGGCAGTGAGAAGATGAATGAATGACAGACAGGAGACTGAGACAGCTAGCATCTCTGCTAAATTAAAACTGATGACTAACCGAGGGAAGAAAACGTAATCCTCCATATATGACATAATGAGTTTTTGTTCTCTTCATGCATAATTTTGAGCCTCAGCATGCGTCCATCCCCAAACCACAGTGGAAAGGTTTACTTTGTTGCTTGGTTTTAGTTTGTTATGGCTTAAATTGTCTAATTACATACAGTCTGGGGCTTGTAAACACAGCTAACATCAACTCTTTAAGTAGCTTGTTTATTGTGTGGAGTTTCTTGCCAGGTGAGAGGTTTTTGGCAGTGGTACAGCTCTAAGCAAATTGTCAGTCCTGTCTCTGGGTCTTTAGTTTCACTCAACCTACTTGTCCTGTGACGTTCAGTACAGAGACTTCAAGCCATCAGATGTCGGTGTCTAGCATTTACTGTTGTTTTCTGCACTACCCTGCGCAAGGTTATTCATTAGATACGGTTTGTTTAGTAACAACAAATGTGTGATGGGTGAATGTGGTGCAGTCTCCAAGATTTGTAAGCACAGACGAAGCTTAAAGTAAGCCAAAGCTCTTAATCTCTGAAAGATGAAGTGTGTCAGTAGCGACGCAGCAGTGGGGTTACCTGCCATCCGAGGTGTCTACTGTCAGTTCGGCCATATTGTAACGCTTGAAGGAAAAATGGAGAACTGAGAAAACTCCATTTGTCCTCTTGTTACACTTGGCTACTTTGCGTTCTGCAGTTTAATTTATAAGCAGCCAGTGTCTGTTGACCATCTGCCACAACAACCACAGAAAACTGATATCAAAGTGAGTCTGGATTGGCTCTTGGCCCTTGCAGTGTTTTGCTTTTTGCTTTCTCAGGTCCCTCCTTGTGGATTGATCACTGATTGATACAGTGCCTTGCGAAAGTATTCGGCCCCCTTGAACTTTGCGACCTTTTGCCACATTTCAGGCTTCAAACATAAAGATATAAAACTGTAATTTTTTGTGAAGAATCAACAACAAGTGGGACACAATCATGAAGTGGAACGAAATTTATTGGATATTTCAAACTTTTTTAACAAATAAAAAACTGAAAAATTGGGCGTGCAAAATTATTCAGCCCCCTTAAGTTAATACTTGGTAGCGCCACCTTTTGCTGCGATTACAGCTGTAAATCGCTTGGGGTATGTCTCTATCAGTTTTGCACATCGAGAGACTGAAATTTTTGCCCATGCCTCCTTGCAAAACAGCTCGAGCTCAGTGAGGTTGGATGAAGAGCGTTTGTGAACAGCAGTTGTCAGTTCTTTCCACAGATTCTCGATTGGATTCAGGTCTGGACTTTGACTTGGCCATTCTAACACCTGGATATGTTTAGTTGTGAACCATTCCATTGTAGATTTTGCTTTATGTTTTGGATCATTGTCTTGTTGGAAGACAAATCTCCGTCCCAGTCTCAGGTCTTTTGCAGACTCCATCAGGTTTCCTTCCAAAATGGTCCTGTATTTGGCTCCATCCATCTTCCCATCAAGTTTAACCATCTTCCCTGTCCCTGCTAAAGAAAAGCAGGCCCAAACCATGATGCTGCCACCACCATGTTTGACAGTGGGGATAGTGTGTTCAGGGTGATGAGCTGTGTTGCTTTTACGCCAAACATAACGTTTTGCATTGTTGCCAAAAAGTTCGATTTTGGTTTCAGCTGACCAGAGCACCTTCTTCCACATGTTTGGTGTGTCTCCCAGGTGGCTTGTGGCAAACTTTAAACGACACTTTTTATGGATATCTTTAAGAAATGGCTTTCTTCTTGCCACTCTTCCATAAAGGCCAGATTTGTGCAGTATACGACTGACTGTTGTCCTATGGACAGAGTCTCCCACCTCAGCTGTAGATCTCTGCAGTTCATCCAGAGTGATCATGGGCCTCTTGGCTGCATCTCTGATCAGTCTTCTCCTTGTATGAGCTGAAAGTTTAGAGGGACGGCCAGGTCTTGGTAGATTTGCAGTGGTCTGATACTCCTTCCATTTCAATATTATCGCTTGCACAGTGCTCCTTGGGATGTTTAAAGCTTGGGAAATCTTTTTGTATCCAAATCCGGCTTTAAACTTCTTCATCATTAGTCATTTAGGTCAACATTGGATCATTCAGAGATCCTCACTGAACTTCTGGAGAGAGTTTGCTGCACTGAAAGTAACTATATGGAGTAATGACAAATTGTCCTGCCTGATATTTGTTCTCCCCCATATGTCTAACAGTGCTGCACATGCCCAGAACATGATCATTTATTTATGACTTGGAAGTACACGGACTCGAAGCCTTAATAGAAGCTCTAAGTTGCTTTACTTGAGTTCGAGCCACAGTGTGGCTGGTGCACGGTATGTTCCTTCAGTTTATATAAAAAAAAAATTAGATTACAGGGTGACACATCTGTATTTCTTTTAGACTCCTTCTTCCCAGTGTATAATTTCAGTATTAAATAGTTTTTTCCCAGTTTTTTCCTGGGATTGGCTCTGCCCCCCCGTGACCCCGTTGAGGGACTAAGCGGTAGAAAATGAATGAATGAAATAGTTTTTTTTCAACATCTTTGTTTCATGAAAGGAAATCTATTTCTCTCACTTCCCTGCACAGACGAGGTTGTCAGCAGTTGAAGATATGATGGTCACTGTACAAAACGATCATAGTGACAGCGGTGTGTGTAACCTCATGTTGCACCACAGTGTGTGTGTGTGTGTCTCCCCTGATGGCTGAAGGGATGATAAGGAGTCCAAGTGGCCTACATCTTGACAGGAGAAATAACAGGACATGTCAGGGTAAATGGGTCCTTGTTGATGGTCCAGGTAATTGCAGGTGTAGCTGTTATTGTTTTCGTCCAGACCGTTGGCTGCTTTTTCATTCTTGTTGACAACACCAGACATTGCTGCCACCAGTAGTGTAGAGAAACGTGCTGATTGGTAGTGTGTGTGCAGTTGTGAGTCTATAAATATGTGTTTTCTTTGGCCATCACTGATTGACTTTACGCTGAAAGAAGTGTGTGTGACGGCTGCTTTATACTTGGTGTGACTTCTGACTGAATCTACCCTTTGTTTTTGTGAGCACACATGTGAAGACTGGTGCCAGTGTTTGTGGAGAAAATAGTATATTATGAAAAAAAAAGTATATTTTGAGAAATAAAATGGAATTCAAGTGTAGCCCAGAGAAGGAAGTCATGCCTTCAGAGGGTCATACTGTGAATGTATTATTGAATCTGGATCTGAACTGAAACTTAGTGACAAAACACTTGAAATGAAAGTTGCTTGCCTGGCATGGTTGCCAAAAAAAGGTTTCTCTTCCGGGTTTGCTTCTACAAAACATATTGTAACTTTCCCTAATAGGTACTGGGTCCCACCTAGTTAGTGCCTGGCTTTACAGTACTGTTCAATATATGCATTTAAAAGTTAGTGAAGTGTTGTGTATCTTTATCTTGTTGTGTCTACCACTCCTCATGGCTCCCACCACATCCACCCATTATCTATACTGCTTATTCCTAAATATGGTCATGGGGGGGCTGGAGCCAATCCCAGCTGACACTGATGAGAGGCGGGGTCCACTCTGGACAGGTTGCCAGTCTATCTGACATGTAGACAAACAACCACACACACTCACTCCTACAGGAAGTTTAGCGTCTCCAGTCAACCGAAGCTACATGTCTTTGGACTGTGGGAGGAAGCCAGAGTACCCGGAGAGAACCCATGCAGGGACAGGGAGAACACGCAGACTCCACACAGAAAGGCCCAGTTGGCCGGGGCTCAAACCTGGAACCTTCTGGCTGTGAGACGACGGCACTAATTGTTGTGCCACTGGCTCCCATCACAATTTCTCCTATAATGTGAATGCTACATAATTGTTTACTCAGTCAAGGACTATACTCCCAAGATCCCAAGATTGAGAAGCACTTTATGCAACATGATATTTATCTGAGGTAAATGAATCATCATGAGTTGAATCAAATCAAAAGTAATAGCATTAAGTTGAATTGAATCGAGAATCCACAGCAATATACCAGCCCTGTTCAACAACAGTCTTTAATACCATGTAAGCACACAACATTACAGGCACTGATTGGGAATACTGACTTTTGTTGATTATGTAAAATGAACTTTCTACCACATCTACATCAACTCTGTGGCTCGTGGAGTGGATCAGCTTGGTCTAA